CACCCTGTGCCGTGCTGTCTTGCAGGGAGAAGGAGAGGGAGCAGCTCTCTGCCTTACGGAAACACCACGAGGAAGAGATTGATCACCACAAGAAGGAGATAGAGCGTCTGCAGAAGGAAATTGAGCGTCATAAGTATAAGATCAAGAAGCTTAAAGATGATGACTAAGCTGATGCTGTTGTTGAATGTGCATGGCCAGCGCTGGTTGTGGTGTAAAACGGCACTGAAGACTGTATGCTTTGGCCAACATAATCCAAATTCGTCCACTTATACTGTGGTCTGCAGCAATGTCAAATAAACTACTCGGTCACTCTTTTCCGCTCAGTAACTGTTTAATGAAAAAAAAATAATCCCCTGTCTGGTTTTAAACTTCATTGTTCTTCCAAAATAAGGATCTATGCTTGAGTAGGCAGTCCTGTATAGAACTTCACTGTTTTCTTTAGATTTATCTGAAAGAAATGACCATTCGTACTTAGTGTGCCAACTTTACAGTTAAAGCTGCAAGAAAAGTTGGGGAAAAAACGGTACCTGTGTAGAGACCCGTTCACACAGAAATAACCGTCTCAAGAAAACTGTCGCCCTGGTGTAGGGGGGAGATGGATCTCCACTGAACTAGCGGAATATCTATAAAAACTAAGGTTCTTCTGTTGCAGTTAGTGTTTAATGCCATAAATTGAGAGAGAAAAATACTGTTCTAAGTCACGGTGATTTCACTTGTGGCGGTGCAAGTTGCTGGAGCAAGACAGCTGAGATCCTGATTTGTACATGAATGTTCTTTTCCGCAAAGACTTTAATTGCCCAACAGTGGGGTTTTTCTGTCTTTAGTTCTTGATGTCCCCTATCTAAGTCTCCTTCCAAAGAAGGATGGATTAAGATTTATTTTATGCAGGTTCAGTCACTTTTGCGATTTTAATACAAGAAATCCATCATAAAACATATGGCAAATGACTTACTGAAATAGTGTGGCCTTACTACACTAAGCACTGACAAGAAGGGGATTTTTTTTGCAATAAGAATGGGCAAGTAAGAAAACAGCCTTTTCTTCCACACCTGCACTGTTATGTCCGTAAATCTGCCTGAGTGGGCTTCATTTCTACCACTGGCAAAAGCCACCCCATTACAGTGTGTTAAGTTACACTGCGAAGTGTTGAAATGGCAGGAGGCAAATCGGAGCCTTTGATGTAGAAAGGGCTTTGACAAGGGTGTGACTGGCTGGCTGAAGGTGTCCCAGGTCCTCCTGTGTTAACCCGTAAATCCCCGATCAGCTGTTCTCCCCTTGGGCCACTCTCTTTCACCTGAGGAACGCTGCAGCCAGTGGTACGTCTTGTCTGCGGAATAAATGACGGCGCTATCGCTCTGATGAAAAGTCCCTGCCCTTAAAAACTCTTGTTTAATGAAAGTGTTATCCGTGTGATCAGCCGTGGAAGAGAGCGGCTGCGCTGTGAAGTACGTCGTTGCCTGGCTTTGCTCAGTCTGTGGGAGACGGTGTTGCAGTGAGTTGTGCGGAGGTTGTGTGTAGAGCTGTCTGTGGGGTTCGTTATTTTTAGTTGGGGCCGATCAACCTGAGCCAAAAATATTAATATCTCCCCCTCCCCACCACCCTGGGAATATGAAACCCGGTGGGAAGAACTGCGTCATGAAAAGCAATACCCTCTTGACCTGTTTAGTTTTTACCCATCTAAAAATCCAAATTTTTACCAATTTAAAAATCTTTTTCCTATTGTATCTGACAGCTGGTTGGCTTCCCCCAAAAGCTGAGGAGCCGCTAGTGAGATGTCCCTGCTGAAGACCAATTTCTTGGCATTGCAGCTACAGCGGACCATGGAATAGCTGAAATAAATATTAGGATAAGTTTATATTCTGAAGGGAACAGATGAGGGCTTAAATTCATGGCTTTGTGATTTACTCTGCATTTTTGTGCACCACTGAAATCTTAACTACGCCATGTAAGCTCAGCCGCAGAGCCTCTGCCCAAGAGCCTGTAAAGGATAGGGGATTTGCTGTGAGACTCTCTGAGGGTGTTGTGATTCGGTCCGCTATCACCTACTGTGCCACCCTGAGAGGTGTTACAAACGCTCTGAAGTCCCCCGGAGTTCAGGTGTGCGGTACAGTATCTTGCTACACAGCAGAGAGCTCTCTGGCCCACCAGCACTCTCTGAAACATCTCTCTCTCCTCATGTTTCAACTTCGCACAAGTTTCGGGGGGGCTCCTACGCTGGCAGATATGCTGGGTCCCTTACCACGTGTTCATAAACCCATCCCATTTTCTGGAGAGGAAAGTCTAGTCAATTCACTACTTTGCAGTCACCCTGAACTTCTATCAGGTTATGGCAATGGAAGTACACACGAGAGGGACAGGCAGCTGTAGATCTTGACCGAGCAAGCGGGCTGGGGAGGGAAGTCCCTTTCAGCAGCAGTTTGACTGGCAGACGATGATTATAAAGCCATGCCCACAGACTATGGCTGCTGGAGAGGCTGAACGGATTAATGCTGCTGCTGCCTAAAGCAGACGGCGTCCCTCCTGCTTCCACCACATCTCCCTTTCACTGTCTCGGGTGTGTTGGAGTCATGGGGGAGTCATTCAGCCTGTTATCTCACTAGCCTATATTTTTGTTCTGAGCCCAATGATCTTTTGCTAGGTTAGCAAGTTGAATGGCTTGTGGAGTCCAAAAGTGCCAAAATCACCACCAAGAAATGCAAGAAGTACTGAGGAGGGAGCGGGGCACATGGTGGGAGCAGTCTTTTCCCATCTACTGAAATTACCTTTGCTAAATTAGAAAGGGCTCTATTTTTATCCAGCTGGCATGATAATTGATTTTGCAGCCATCCTTCTACCAGGGATTCCACTTGGCTGTGAACCTTAATGCCTTGGGTAGCATCTGTTCAATTTGTCCTCATGATGAGGTTTCCCCACTGACCTCTTCTTCCAGGGAGTCCCAATAACCTACATCTCCCTGAAACTAGTTTGCTTCAGTTTAATGCCGGTGACGCTTTGGCCATTCCTAGTTAACAGGCCCTGTTCTATTTCCTTGCTGGTGCAAATCTCTCTGCCTAGCAGAAGACCCCTCTCCTGAACTTGTCTCTAGAAATCATAAACACCTCACCCACCACACCTCCTGTACCAACTCTTTACCAGGGGCAATTCTGTGAGCAACTAAGCTCCTACGAGAGCTCCCAGCGCCCCAGTCCTGGCCACAGCACCCCATCCCTTTTCCTGCACTGGTTCTAGTGCTCATTAAAACCTTTTCTACGCAGATTCAATTGCAGAAATGTCTTTCCCTCTTCCCTGGGGTTACCAAGAAGAATGAGTTTGTGTAGTGTCTGATCAGTAGCAAAGGTGGTTCAAGGTTAAGTGTTCGAGGGGGACCTCTGCCTTTTGGCAAGGGAGATGTTAAATCATCTTGTTTTGTGTAGTTTTATCATCAGTGCATCTCTTCAGAAGATTTTTTTTCTTCTTTTGAAGTTTGAACAGTCAGTCTCTGCAGTAAGTTACCAAATGACATAGATGGATGTTGCTTGTTACTGATTCTTATGATACAGCAGTAACCCATCGCAGGTGAGTATACTGGATCTGGGGTGCTTTAATAAGGTTTTTCTTCCAAATTGAGTGCAATATGGCAATAGCACCAGCTTGAAGGCTTGCAATGTGTTTCTTCCGCTGCTCCATTGACAGTGCTTGTGATGAGAAACGTAAGAGACAGGTAAATGTGAAAGATGTCCGAGTTTGAGTTACAGACAGACCCCTTACCAGAAGTATTGCAGCTACAAGAAGGCAGAGATGATTTAAGATGTTTGCATTTGGTGTGATGAATTTTTCACCAACAGGGTTTGGTATCCCGGAGCGCACTGCAATACCGTAGGGCTTCTGACAAATTATGTGAGCATTTGTGTGACTAGGAGCAAGCAGTTTATCTGGGGCTCAGTCATCCACTTCCAGGGCCAGTAGATGGAGAGATGCCAACTACGGACTGCGGCCACTTCAATGCCTGCGGTTTGCTGTAGAGCTCCAGTTCAGAGCAGGAGTGCTGAGGAGTAAAACAGGATTACACCTCAGACCTGATGTGATAGCTGGGGTGTTATGTCTAGAGACCTTCCCAGAACTCCCCCTCAGTCCAGTGTGACCTGAAGGACAGGGCTCAGTTGTCTTGTTGGAAATCAGTAGCTACAAACTGCCAGCTGGTTTTGGTGCAGAGCAACCAAAACCCGAAGCTGATGTTTGAGGCTGGTAAGGCTGCAAGGATGGCGCTTAACTCGGATAACAGGCCATAGAGGGGCTTATTGTTCTGCGTTTCCTCCATTACTCTGGAATTGGCTGATGGCATGAATAGACCCCCCCTCGTCCCGCAGGCACAGGGGTACACAAAGGAAGGGATTCTTCTCTCTTCCCTGCCAGCACTGGTGCATCCTGGTCATTCAATTGTCCCTCAGGGTTGGACTGACCCCGTTCACAACACCCTAACTCTCAACAGCCACCTACAGCACAGATTCATGAAGAAAAAGTTTAACTTCTTGGAGTGGCCTTTACGTTTCAATGAGATGTATATCCTTCCTCACCCCCAGATCCCCTGTCCATATCTTGCCCCTGTAGATCATGGCCCAACACCACTTGGCTACTGCAGAAGCAGGAAAAGTGCACTTTTAACAGCTAAAGCCGAGCCGGTGATTATTGCTGCAGCAAACAGAAGCTTGTTCCCAAGGCGCTTAGTTTGTGCTGCATCCTACACAAATATGATGGAAATTGCCAAGAATCCTTGGCTGAGGGGTGGGGACAGAAGTGACAAGAGAGGAGAGTGATATATCCAAGATTTTTAGCGAGCTGGTTTTAGTGCAACATACCCAGGTTGCCCAGCCTGGTCTCTTTGGGCCTTTTTGTCATTCTAGTCCTCCCCGCTTCAGAGCAGACAAGGGGAATGAGGTAGGACAAAGACAGAGCATATACTTATGTTTTCCCAAAATCAGATAAACTGGCTCTGTGCAAGGCAAAATAAACGTATGTGCAAAAAAATAACACGGTAATAACAACAGCACGGCCTCTGTAGGCAGAAATTTTCCCGAGCACTTCCTTGCTTTGGGGGGGTGGAACACACTGGGGGCTTTCAGAAAGTTCCTCACTGATAAATAAAGCCTGTATTATTTTTTTTTAAGACAACCTCCTCTCACTGGAAGCCTGGGCTTCAGCAAACACATGAGAAGAGCTGCATGCAGAGCACCAGAGAACGAGATGTTTGCTGGAGGCAGGCACATCCACGACACAGTATCCATAATAGCTGCACTAACTGGTCAAAATAAAAAGTCTAAAGCACCGGAAAATATCACATTCCA